TCCTTTTTTTTAACATAGGATCTCCTTAGCCAATACTGGCTTGGAACTCTTTATGTAGTCCAACTTGCCTCAAACTTGTGGTAATCCTCCTGCCTCGGGCTCCAAAGTACTGAGATTACAAGTGTGAGCCATCCCGGTCAGTCCCCCGTTATTTGTTTTGTTGCTATGCTGAGACAGTTCTGTGCACTGTTACCCCAATGTCTTATAACATTTCTGTGACTTCTGGTAATTGCAAAAAAAGTCAAATACAGCAATTTATTATAGTTTTGTATTGAATATAAACCCTCATGTCTTTTTCTTTTACCCCCCCCCCTTTTGTTTTTTTACAGAGTTTCTCTGTAACAGTTCTGATAGACCTGGAACTCCCTTTGTAGCCTAGGCTGGCCTCAAACTCAAAGATCTGCCTACCTCTGCCTCCTGAGTGCTGGGATGAAAAACCGTGTACCATCACTGCCCTGCTCTTCCCCTCTTTTCTTTCACGGGGTCTCAAGTATTTTAGGGTGGCTGCGAACGAATTTACTGTGTAACCAAGTTTGGCCTAAATCCTAATCCTTTCGTTTTAGTGTTCCAAGTGCTGAGATTCCAGGTGTGAGCCACCACTCCCGACATTTTTGTTTTTTTAAGCTAAAAAAGCAAAAAGTGAGTTCACCTGATTCTCAAACGCTTTGTCATAACATTCTTTCCTAAACGTGCTTTCTGGCTTCTACACCTGACATCTGAGCTGTCACTATACTAACAATTTCCCCGCTCCCGCAAGTGATACAGCGGTCCATTGATAGGTTGAATGATTTGTTCTGGACCTTAGTTCTTTGGTTGTGGAAATTATCCTTTAGAAACCGAGAAAGCGATATAGGCATCCTCCTGAATATTAACCTTCATCAGGCGATGAAAGGAGATAGAGACACATTGGAGCACCGGACTGAAATCTCAAGGTCCAAATCAGGAGCAGAAGGAGGGAGAGCACGAGCAAGGAACTCAGGACCGCGAGGGGTGCACCCACACACTGAGACAATGGGGATGTTCTATCGGGAACTCACCAAGGCCAGCTGGCCTGGGTCTGAAAAAGCCTGGGTTAAAACCAGTCTTGCTGAACATAGCGGACAATGAGGACTACTGAGACCTCAAGAACAATGGCAATGGGTTTTTGATCCTACTGCACCGTATTGGTTTTGTGGGAGCCTAGGCAGTTTGGATGCTCACCTTACTAGACCTGGATGGAGGTGGGTGGTCCTTGGACTTCCCACAGGGCAGGGAACCCTGATTGCTCTTTGGGCTGACGAGGGAGGGGGACTTGGTTGGGGGAGGGGAAGGGAAAGGGGAGGCGGCGGTGGGAAAGAGACAGAAATCTTTAATAAATAAAAAAATAAAAAAAAAGAAAGAAACCGAGAAAGCGGCTGGAAAATTACGCCAGCGCGTGCTGCTCCCCCGCCCCTTCGCTACGTCAAGCGAAACTGCGTTCTGATTGGCCAGAAATACGTACTTCCCTTTGTACGAGTCGAGTCAACGGCTCGTCCCGCCTAGCGTGCTGACGTCATTATCTTCCGGTTCACAAACCGGTGACGTTGTTAGTTCCCAGACTCTGATTGGTTCTACAGCGCCAGAATAAACGCCGCCTGGCAGAACGGGTGGAGGTACGCACTGCCTCGCCTGCGCCCCATAGTTGGCAAGAGGGAGCTCGCGGAGCTTTTTCCGAAGGCGCTTGCGGAGGCCCACCCTCTTGGGTGTCACTGGTGGCCAGCTGAAGCTCTTCTGTTCGCTCCGCCCCTAGTCGGTTAGGTTTCCTGGGTGGAGGTAGAATCTGGAGTGTGTGTGTGTGTGGGGGGGGTGAAACCGCAGGCCCACTAGGCTCTGGTGGCCTAGCACTTCCCCTGCTTCAGCAGCATCTGTCTCTTGAAAGTGCCGGTTTAAGTGCCTTGTGAGCTGAGGCTGGGAGGTAGATTGTAGGGTGTCTGGGGTTGGCTCCAGGGACGCTTCTCCAGGATGTACCCTCACTGCCTAATATTTTTTTCTCTCCGGAGCCCCCGTTGTCTCATCTCCCTCTGTCCAGAGTAGCCAACCAGTCTGATCACATCAGTCATGTGATCAGGACCAAGTGTACATTCTTCCACGACTTTAAAAAGGTCTTGCGGAACTGGAGAGATGGCTCAGTGGTTAAGAGCACTTGTTGCTCTTCCAGATAACCCAGGTTCGATTACCAGCACTCACATGGCAGCTCATAATTGTAACTCCAATTCCAGGGGATCTGACATCCTCACGCACACAGATATATATGCAGGCAATTCCAGGGGATCCGACATCCTCACGCACACAGATATATATGCAGGCAAAATTTCAGTGCACGTAAGATAAAAATCCTGAAAAATAAAAAGGTCTAGCAGTACTCCGGAGACAGAGGCAGGCAGCTCTGTAGCTCTGTGTTTTTTTTTTCGGGGGGGGGGGGGGGGTTGTTGGGTTTCTTTGTGGTTTTGTTGTTTTTTGAGACAGGGTTCTCTCTTCCTCCATCCCTTGCGCACTCTCTCCTCGCTCTCATTTTCTTGTTTTTAGTTTTGTTTTTCTGAGGCAGGGTTTCTCTATGTAGCCCTGGCTGTCCTGGAACTCACTCTGGACCTGAGCGCTGGGATTAAAGGCATGTGCCAGGTGGTTCTGGCAGCTCTGGCTGTTTTAATTTTAATTTTTCTATTGATTCTGATAAGTGCATAAAGTCAAATATATTAACCATTATGATGTCATGTTGAATATAAAACAGTTGGATGCCTGACTGTCCTGCATAGTGAGACCCTGTCATAAATAATCCTGTAAATCTAGCTCCTTTTAAAAATTTAGTTCTCTGGGCAGTGGTGGCAGATGCCTTTAATTCCAGCCCTCGGGAAACAGAGGCAGGCCACCCTGGTCTACAGAGCAGGTTCTAGGACAGACTTAAAAGCTACACAGAGAAACCCTGTCTTGAAAACAAAACAAAAATATCTAGTTCTCCTTTTGTGTCTACATGTGTGTGTGCGGGTTCCCTCAGAGTACAGAAGTGGGCATTAGATCCTCTAGAAGTGAATGAAGTATTACGAAGTTGTGAGCTGCCTTTGGATTCTAAGAACTCTGCCCTCTGGAAGAGCTCTTAACCACTTGGAACCATCGCCATTGCCTGTCTTGTTGGGTTTTGTTTTTGTTTGTTTTGACAGAGTCTCCATATGTAGTCTTGATCTCTGCCTCTAGGTGAGCATCACCTTGCCCAGCTTATCTGATTTTTAAGACAGGGTCTCACTCTGTAGCTTAGGCTGGCCTGGAAGTCACTGTGCAACCCTGGTTTACCTCTGAGCCAAAACTCTCACCTTCCCCAGCAGGCTTTTGGATTCTTAAAGCAGGAGCTAGCCAGGTGAGGTGGTGGTGCATGCCTTTAGTCTCAGCACTGGGAGTCAGAAGCAAGCAGATCTCATGAATTCAAGGCCAACCTGGTCTACCTAGCAAGTTCCAGTCTGACTAGAGCAACTGAATGAGACCTTGTCTAAAAAAGCTCAAGAAGGGAGCTGAGGAGAAGGTTCAGTGGTTAAGAGCATGTTACAGAGGATGCAAGTTCAATTCTCAGCACTCACATGGAGGTTCACAATCATCTGTAATTCCAGTATTTAGGATCTGAAACCTTCTTCTGGTCTCTATGGATACCAAGCACACGCACACAAATTGCACGTACATGCACACATAAAAGCAAAACACATGAAATTAAATTAATATAAATCTAATAATATTTTTTAAAGTCAGAAAGGAACAGGCCAGGCGTGCTGGCACATGCCTTTAATCCTAGCATTCAGGTGGCAGACTCAGGCTAATTCCTGTGAGTTCAAAGCCAGCCTGTTCTACATACTGAGTTCTAGGACAGCCAGGGCTGTAAGTAAGACCCTGTCTCAGAAAAAGTGGGAGGAGAACAGGAGCAAACAATACAAAAAGCAACTTTACTCATGGCTTCAGATGCCAAACAAGTATCCTCAGAACCAGGGCAATCACTCAAGTTTTCTGTTTTGCTTTTCACTCATTTTTATGCAAAGGGACTGAATGGAGGCACCATTCAGATTCCTGGAGTTAGGACTTGAGAACATTTGAAGGCCAGTTCAGTAGCTATTTCTTATGTGCCTGATTCCTGAATGCTGCCCTGTCCAGGCCCTGGGTGAATGAAGGACTTCTGAGGATTAGTTAAGGCTCAGAGAGAATGAAAACCAGGCAAGGTGGGTTGCTTTAACAAATAAGGTCATGGGTGCCTGGTTTCCCTTAGTAGGGGGCACTGTTGGTGTAAATCAACATCTAACTAGCCTCCAGACCTTTTCTTCAAGGGTCTTTTAGCACCTAGCAGCATCTTAGAGAAGGGCTTCGGTACTGGGAGTGAGTAGAGACCAAGAATCAAGGGAGTAAGTATTCTTTCTGGCCAAGAAAATTGATTGCACACAACTGAAGGACCAGAATAGTCTCCCTATCCTACCAGAGCTCCCGGTCAGTGTCACGCGTGCTCACATGCACTTTGCCATCCATGCGTGCACATACAGGTCCAGACTCCTTTTGGATTTTAGTACCTTGCCTGTCTTTCATCATCTGTATACCCCAGGGCTTTCTCTCCAGCTAGAGACAGGTGGACCTATGGCTTGTCACCTGTCTCCTGCCTTCTCAACAGCCTGGTGCAATTGTGCACACCTGTAATCCTCGCACTTGGGGCAGAGGCAGAAAGATTGCCTCAAGTTTGAGGCCAGCCTGAATTGCATAGAGTACCAGGCCAGGGAGGGCTACAGAGTAAGGCCCTATCTCAACAAAACAAAACATCACAAACTGATGAGTAGGTCTTGCCCTGTGACTTAGAGTTGGTGGGGGGTGGAGCAAAGCCCCATTATCCCTGATGAGGAGGCAAAAGGAGTTGCTCTCAGGCTGTCCCATCGCCCCCACCCATATAGGTTCCTATAGGCGCAACACAGAAGGGAAAAAAGACAGAAAGTCTCTTCCGGCAGCAGGAAGTGGTAACTACCTATGGGGAAATGAGGCTAGTTCTTTCCTTTGGGGCTGAGCAGAAAGGGAACTGTAGCTGAACCCTGCTCCCTCCCCCTCAGGGGGCCCAGAGGGAACACAGGCCTGCAGTCCTCTGGGGAACTTCCCATCAGCTGTCAGGACTCCCTTAGGCCTCACTCAGAACTATGACTCCAGGAAGGAGAGGGTGGCATCTGATGTCCAGGGAGGCAGGCTGCCTAGGGGCAGTCTTGGGTTTGGAGCAGCTATGGCGCCATTGTCCACTGGTATTGAGGGCCAGTGGCCTTAGGGATGTGGTCTGACACTGGAGACCACATAAAGCTTTCTGTAGATGGTGAGGAACAGCAGCAGGTGGTCCCAGGCATGTTGGGGCTCTCTTGCATTGGCTGCCTTATGCTGAGTCTTAGGGCTCAAGGTGATCTAGGTAGATGAGCAGAGGGAGGAAGAAGGCAGCCTGCCTCAAGAGCTGTACACGTGGGAAGGGGCGCCTTGTCCTTCTGAGGCCCACCAGAGCAGCAGGCAGCTCTTGATCTAGGTCGCCCCGCCCCTCCGGGGGACCTGCTGGGGGCGGGGCGGGGCGGGGCGTAGCTGATGGAGGGTGCTGGTTTTGGCGCCCCTGGTCCCTGTGCTCGGCGGTCTTGCCTTGCTGCAGCGTGGGAGCATCGGGACTTGAAGGTGCGATCAGCCCTCGGCCATGGCGGCGCACGGAAAGCTGCGGCGTGAGCGGGGGCTGCAGGCTGAGTATGAGGCACAAGTCAAAGGTGAGAGGGCACTTTGGGCCTGGTATACTGTGGAGACCCCGAGTGTCTGCTGCTGATCTTCAGACATGGGGTGGAGGAGGGAGCCCAGGCCCTGCTTCTTGGAGCCTCTTTGGCCTCAACTGCCTGGCCATGCCCTCCCTCTGTCCTCTCTACACAACTTGGGTCGCCTGCTGCTCACTCAGGCAGCAATGACTGGTAGCCTGAGGGAAGGGCAAACTGAGAGGGTGGCTTTATAGCTGGAGTGTTTTGGGCCACCTTGACTTTGCTGGTGGCCTGACACCTCATTCAACATCACTAGAATCCATGAAGCTTTAACGCCTTTGCCTTCCTTTAACTCTGAAGTAGCTTGCAGGTTAGGGTTTTTGACTGGGTCAGGCTGGAAGACTGCGGATTAGAGAAGTCCAGCCGGACTGACTTTATAACTTTAGGATATTAGATCTCTGGATTCTGCAATTGATGCAAATCACATGCAAATGAGCTTTGTAAGTTCTTAGCTGACAGCTTCATTTCTTCAGGGTGTGGTAGGTAACTCGCACAGGAAAAGAGACAGCATCTAACCTCCTGCCCCCACCCCCAGTTTCTTGTTGTTTCCAGATATCCTGACTACCATTACCACTCTCAATGGCTCTATATTTTATCTATTGTGGATACAAGCTCGGAGAAGCAGTGTCACATACAACAGCTCCCAAAAAGAGGAGTGAAATAACACTTGGAGTTTCCCAACCTGTGGATGAAATTCCAGTGCACTTATTTGGTGCAAGCAAATTATACCAAAGTATGTCTTAGTGATGTCTTACTGCTATAGTGGTGAGCATAGCTACCTTTGAAAGTTTGACACAGTCCTCTTCTTGGTGTCCAGAGCCAGCTTGAGGTAACAGCAGAGAGTGAGCCAGCAGGTGGAGACAAGGATCTCCTCCTACTTCCTCAAAATGTCCAGAAGCAGCTGGGCGGTAGAGGCGCAGGCCTTTAATCCTAGCTCTCTGGGAGACAGGAAGCAATTCTCTGAGTTCCAGACTAGCCTGGTCTACAGAGCAAGTTCCAGGACAGCCAGGGCTTGCAGAGAAACCCTGTCTTAAAAAAAAAAAAAAAAAAAAAAAAGCCGGGCGATGGTGGCGCACGCCTTTAATCCCAGCACTTGGGAGGCAGAGGCAGGCGGATCTCTGTAAGTTTGAGGCCAGCCTGGTCTACAGAGCTAGTTCCAGGACAGGCTCTAAAGCTACAGAGAAACCCTGTCTTGAAAAAAAAAAAGACAAATAAACAAAAGAACAACAACAAAAATTGTGACACCCAAGGACCTTAAAAAGTCTTCAATCACTTCAATCAGCAAACACAGATCAGTTAGTTCCAACTAAGAAACTGGAGTTCGGTACCACTGTCTTTAAGATGGCCCTTGCTCATTCAACGTGTCCGGTTTTTTTGTGGCTTTTTTTCTCGTGCCCCTCCCTCAAAAAAAGGAAAAAGGTCTTCCAACAATGCTAGAACAGAGGCACTGTGTTCACACTTTAAATTCTGACAGGTCAGCAAAGTCGCTCTACTGGTCAGCAGAAGTGAGAGTGAATGCCTGGCTCACAGGAAGTGCTGGAGGGGCCTGGGTCCCAGCTTTGCAATTCAAATATGCAGGATTTCTCACTTCTTTTTGTCAGCTGTTCTTTGTTTGGGTGGGTGGGATTGGAGCTTGGGTATGTAGCCTAGGCTAGTCTTGAACTCATTATTTTACTCAAGCTGGACTGTAACTTACAGCATCCTCTTCCACAACGTTCCAGGGCTGGGATGACAAGTTTGTGCTACCAGATTTTTTTTTTAACACACCTGTTTTGCTCTAGACTCTGGAAATGCCTTATTGTATAGAAGAGAAGCAGTCCTTCTTGGTGGTTCACAGGCCTGAGGAGAGAAAAATTGCACACAGCTGATTTCATGTGTGATGATAGCCACTGCAAAGGACAGCCAAGGTGCCAAGAGTACACTGGGGTTAGACAAGGACCAGAGCTAGTTTGGTAGGAGATCAGGGTTCTTTGAGCTGAAATCAACCTGGTGACTTCAGGCAGCAGTTTCCTGCCCAGTGTGGACCTCAGATGCAATTGACTTGCAATCTATAGCTCTTTGACACTGTCTGGTGTGCATGTTCAGAACAGGAAGTGCTGTTGCTACTGGTAGAGAACCCACACAATATTGTGGTGCACTTGGCACTGTGTAGCTAGAATAGGTCCCTCCTTGGATAACACATCACTTTTGGAGAGCAGGGCAGCCTACAAGGAAGGGTATGCTGGATATTCTTGAGACCCTGCTTGTTAGGAACTTAAATTGCCATTCTTCAAACCCTTTTAGTCTTATTTAGTGGAGACTCCTCTGATTGAAGTCAGCAGCATTACCACTCATTCTAATGAGTAGCTGGCATATACCACTTCAGCCACATGAGGCTGGTGACAGTGATACTTGGTTTTGTAGGCTTTGCTTTGACTTCAGTGTTGGGAATTTACATACACATACACACACACACACCAGCTTCCTTCTGCCTAACTTGTGCCCTTAGTGGAAATTTAGCAATTACAGTGACCAGGTTAAGGGTATGCCCCAAAGCCCACCCCTAAGAGAGTCCAGTGGGTGGGATAGAAGGCTGATAAGTAGGTCATGCAAGCAGGTGGATCTGGAGCCCCTGGACTCAGGGAAAGAAGTCAGTCCCACCACAGTGTGGAGTCTGAGAACAGGCAGGAGACATACTGAGAAAGGAAATCAGAAGGGGAGATGGGGACTTCTGGGCAGGAGATACCTAAGAAGGCCTTTCATCTCATAGCCCCAGGAAAGTCACTGTCAAGACAGTTCACCCATTCTGATCTCTTCATATTGACTTTCTTTTGAACAGCTACCCCAAGGCTTGCCTTTCAGACTGGCTTCCTGGTTCCAAAACCCACCATCTTTTTCTTAGATAAATATAGTAACTGCCCCTTGGGCTCTACACAGTAGCCATAGGGACCCTGAAAATGAAATGAGTCCACAGGGCTCTACCCCCTGGCTTATCTCTCCCTGGGCATCTTGTTGGAATCCTGGACCACAAGCTTTTGGTCATCTGTTTCCATCCCCTCCTCCCAGATTCCTCCCCCTTGCTTTTTGTTTGTTTGTTTTTCAAGACAGGGTGTCTCTGTGTAACAACTCTGGCTATCCTCAGACTTGTTCTGTAGACCAGACTGGCCTCGAACACACAGAGATTCACCTGTCTCTGCCTCCTGTGTGCTGGGATTAAAGGCATATGTCACCATTGCCTGGCTTCCTGTAGCTTTTTGTATACTTTTTTAAAGGCAGTGTCTCCTATAACCCAGGCAAGCCTCAAACTCACAGTGTAGCCAAAGATGATCTTGCATTTTGGATATTCCTGTTTCTACTTCTTAAGTATTAGGATTACCACCATACTTGGCCTGTGTGTGCATTTTATAAGCTCCCATCATTGTTCCTTGTCATTCTACCATGGCTCTATCCCCCTGCTATGGTCCCAGCTCCAGAGTAGCAGGCACTGTGTCTTGAATATGCCTGGAATGAAATAGATGTGAAGTCACCATTCTACTAAATAAATCAATTGGTGTTCTGCTCTGAAGATATGGCTGAAGACCTATCTGTGGACATGCTGCTTCCTGGAAGCCAAGAAAGTGTGTTTTTGTGTTTGATGTAATGGTGTGTGGGTTGAGGTGCTCATCTGGGTCTTTGGTGTGGGGGCGTGGGGCATAGTGCTGCTATCAGCTTGCAGGACAGGCAGTTTTTGCTTGAGATATGGGTGAGGGAAGAAGTATTGCTAAATCAAGCCAGAGATAAGATGTCAAAAGGCCAGTGGTGGTGTGGGGCCCTCAGCTATGAGTCCCTGTAGAACAGAGAAAAAAAACCCTGGGGTGGGTAACTTCCAGTAGAAAACAACAAACATAAGCCAGGCAGTGATGACACATGCCTTTAGTCCTAGCACTCGGGAGACAGAGACAGGTGAATCTCTGGGAGTTCCAGGCCAGCCTGGTCTATACAGAACAAACTACAGGACAGGCTCCAAAGCTACAGAGAAACACTGTCTTGAAAAACAAACAAAAAGGAAAAAAAGAAAAGAAAAGAAAACAACAGACAAAAAACTTAGGCCAGTCCCTTCACTCCTCAACCTTGAGTGGAACATTAGGCCATGGCCCTTCTTACTATGGGACTGGTTTCACCTGGCCTGAAGGCCCTGAAGGCCTGGCTGAGTGCCACAGCGGTCCTGCCACCGAGCAGCTTCTTGTGTCTGTTCAGAAGCCACAGCACAGAGTTTTCTGCCTCAGGGCCCTTCCCGAGTGCACAGGGGCTGCCGAGCCTGGGTACCTTGCTTCTGGGCACACTTTCTTCTGTCCTTAGTTCCAGTTTGTTCAGTCGGGTGCCAAGGAGCCTTTGGTGTGGACAGAATGACTGTCTGTCTTTACCTCTCCTACCGCTTGCTGGTCTGGTTGGTTCACGCCATGCATGTTGACCAGGCCTGAACCGAGGTCCCCTTGCAGGGATGCGCTGGCAGTTGAGTGAGCAGCTCCATTGCCTGGAGCTTCAGGGAGAGCTGCGGCGAGATTTGCTGCAGGAGCTAGCTGAGTTTATGCGGCGCCGGGCAGAGGTGGAGCTGGAGTACTCTCGGGGCCTGGACAAGTTGGCTGAACGCTTTGCCAGCCGCAGTGGTCGCCTGGGGGGCAGCGGCCGGGAGCAGCAAAGCTTCCGGTAGGTACCGCGCGGGCAGCAGTGCCTTGCTGGGCCTGAGACCTAAGCTCCCTGGTCTGAGTATTCCTCTGCTACAACAGGAAGGAGCCGACTCTCCTGTCACCCTTGCACTGCTGGGCTGTGTTGCTGGAGCACACGCGGCAACAGAGTCGTGAAAGTGCCGCCCTCGGCGAGGTGCTGGCTGGGCCCCTGGCTCAGCGCCTGAGTCATATTGCTGAGGATGTGGGACGCATAGTCAAAAAGGTAGAGTCACACAAGTTGTGGAAGGCCTCAGGATCTAACAAAGCTCATGGGGATCTAACTGCTTGAGAGGCATGGGAGGCCAGGTGGAAGTTGCAGCCCAAGGTCGGCTTGTCCCAATCTCAGGTGATGGGTTGTCACAGGATGGTGGGAGGCACTAAGTAGGGTAATGCTATAGACACACATATCCCTTCATCTCTAGAGTAAGGACCTGGTGCAGCAGCTGCAGGATGAGCTCCTGGAGGTGGTCTCAGAACTCCAAACAGTAAGCAGGACCCACTGTGTGCTGATCAGGGGGAAGCAGGAACAGTCCCAAGCCATTGCATCTCCTAGTCAGGTTCAAGAGAATGGATGCTCAGGGATGACCTGAGTCGGGGGGTGGGGGGCAGGCATGGGCTGCTCTATGCTCTGGGGACAGAGTGGTTAGATGATAACATACTTAGGTGAAATGGCCCAACCCTCAGATCTGAATCCCAGAGGAGCTGAGGGGTACTGTTCCTGATCATGGCCTTCATCAGGGCTGCCTTACCTGGGCTTCCCTGCAGACCAAGAAGACATATCATGCATACCACTTGGAGAGCATGAATGCTGAGACCAAACTCCGGGAAGCTGAGCGTCAGGAGGAGAAGCGGTCAGGCCGGAGTGCCCCGCCCACCACCATGGCTGCCTCTGCCAGCACCACGACTACTGTTACCACCACTGAGACAGTGCCCCTCAGAAAGAGCTCTCTCAAGAAAGGAGGGCGACTAGTGGAGAAGGTGGGCCTGGAAAGCTGTGGGCCCCCCCTCTCTCCAGCTCTTGTCCCTGGCCTTTGTCCCTACCAGTTCTTGACTGTCCCTGGGGCAAAAAAAAAAAAAAAAGTGTGGGGGAAGAACTTTCTAGTCCTCCAACAAGATTCTTCCTTCCTGGTCAGACCTGATGGCTCTGGGATGTGGAAAGACAATCATAGTGTCAGGACAGACTGATTCTATCACGTTAGTTCTAAGCATGTTGTCCCATAGCCCTGCCAGAGCAGAGAGCTGGAGTACTCTAAGCCTGGAGGACTTTTTCCTAGCTAGCTTCTAAGATTTTAGGAGCAGAAGAACTCAGGATGAGTGAAGAACTGTGTGCCATTCCGAGAGAAGCATTCAAGGAGACCCCATGGAGAGGATGGAGAGGCTCCAAACTAAGTGGAACTGAGGGCAATGGCTTTTGTTTTGTGCCACCCCCATGTGGAGCCTATGTGACTTTCTCATACATTTTCATAGCTCATACCTCTGTCACGGGGTCGGAATACAAATGCCTTTTACTTAGCCATCTGTTTCCAGGTGACCCACTTCCACTTCTCTGGAGAATGACAGTGGGGCATGTTAGGGACTCAAACCAAGACAAGGGTAGGGGTGGGGAGATCAGCCCTTGCCAAAAGATCAGAAGTAGCCACAGAAGAGGTAGGGAGTCAAGACAGGTTCTGGGAGTTGAGTGGGAAACCCTGTGCACAGTAGAGCTGAGCACTGAGGGTGCACCAAGGATTGGTGTATGACATTGGTTTTTTTTGTTGTTGGTGGTGGTGGTTTTTTTGTTTTGTTTTGTTTTGTTTTTCGAGACAGAGTTTCTCTGTAGCTTTGGAGCCTGTCCTGGAACTAGCTCTTGTAGACCAGGCTGGCCTCAAACTCACAGAGATCTGCCTGCCTCTGCGTCCCAAGTGCTGGGATTAAAGGCGTGCACCACCACTGCCCCACAGTGTATGGCAGTGTTAAGAAGTTCATGATGTATTAAGCATAAGGAACCTGTGGCACATTGGTCATGCTTTTCGGCAGAAGGAATGGGAACAAGTGGTCTCCAAATGGGTGGCCCTGATGTGCTTTGGTGTCTTGAGCAGCGTCAGGCCAAGTTCTTGGAGCATAAACTTAAGTGCACGAAGGCCCGAAACGAGTACCTGCTCAGCCTGGCCAGTGTCAATGCTGCTGTCAGCAACTACTACTCACACGATATTTTGGACCTCATGGATGTAAGTCCTGTGTGGGCAGGCAAATGGGGTCATGGTATTGGAGCTTAAATGCTTGGACCTTTGGCTCTGGCTCTAGACCCACAACAGTATCTGCTTGCTTCTTTCCAGTGCTGTGACACAGGTTTCCACTTGGCCCTGGGGCAGGCCATCCGAAGCTACACAGCTGCTGAGAACCGCACCCAAGCCTGCCAGATGCAGGGATTGGGCAGCCTGGAAGAGGCTCTGGAGGCTCTGGATCCTCCAGGGGACAAGGCCAAGGTGCTTGAGGTTTATGCCATGGCCTTCTGTTCCCCTGAACATTTTGACTACCAACCCCATGAAGGTGATGAGGTGAGGGTCACTTTATTCCACCCCTGCTCCTGCTACCCTTACAGCCCAAGCTGATTGCAAAGGGCTTTACATTCTCTGGGCTTCATACTAATGTGGGTCAGTCACATAATTTACACTTTCATAAAGCAAAACAAACAAGAAATTCTAGGATGCTGAAATTCAGCCCTTCAGTCCGTGGCCTCTGGCCCATTAGAACAGTTTGCTGTGGCAGTTCACTGAGGGGCTGCCCTCAAACACAGGGCAGCCCCAGCATCCAGATCTTCACCATGGCTGTCCATACACTATACAATGAACACTCTTTGTAGCCATGCGTGCCTTTTATCCTAGCACTGGGGAAACTAAGGCAGAAGGATTACCCTAAATTTAAGGCTAGCCTAGGCTGCATAATGAAGCCCACAGCTTGGGCTTCAGTGTAAAAATCTGTCTACAAATAGAAAAACTGATGACGACAACAACAACAAATTTCATAATAGATACTAGTGAGGAAATATAGAGTGCAGCATCCTCCATTCTTTCCTCTTTTCCTTCCTCCCTTTCTTCCTTTCTTCCCTTCCTCCCTTCCTTCCTCCTTTCTTTTCCTTCCTTCCTTCCTCTCCTTCCTCCCTTCCCTCCCTTCCTCTCCTTCCTTCTATTCCCTCCCTCCCTTCCTTCCTTCCTCTCCTTCCTTCTATTCCCTCACTCCCTTCCTTGTATTCCCTCCCTCCCTTTCTTCTTTCCCTCCCTCCCTTCCTCCTTTCCTCTCCTTCCTTCCTCCCTTCCTCCTTTCCTTCCTTCCTCTCCTTCCTTCTATTCCCTTCCTCCTTCCTTTTCTTCCTTATTTCCTTCCTTCCCTTCCTTCCTCTCTCTCTCTTCTTTGGTTTTTCAAGACAGGGTTTCTCTATATAACAGCACTAGCTATTCTGGAACTCGCTTTGTAGATCAGCCTGACCTCAAACACAGAGATTCACGTGCCTCTGCACAGGTGGTTGTGAGCCACCTAACATGGGTACTGGAAACTGAACTCAGGACCTTGGGGTGAACAGCAAGTTTTTTAATGATAAAAGGTAAAACATTATTTCTGCAATTTCCAGGTGCAAAGTTCAGTGATGTGAAGCATCACTGCTATGTGACTGTTACCCTGTCTATTTCTAGACTGTTTATTTTCTTAAACAGAATTTGTCCCTATTAAATATTTAGGTCTCCATTGCTCTCCTTCCAGCTTCTAGAACTCACTATCCTGCTGTCTCTGTGAACTTGGTTTACAACACTGACACATAAAGGTCTCTCACGGCAGTCAGCTTCTACAACATTTGTCTTGTAGGGCCCGGCTCATTCTGTTCCTCAAGGTTCATCTATCCTGCAGCATGTGTCCTTTTTTCATATGACTTAAACATTATGTATTCCTTTGTATTGGTATTTGAAACTTACTGAAGATACAAGTCATATCCTTGCCAGAGACTGCAGCTCCGCTGGTAAAGTGTCTATCTAGCATTTCTGAAGCCTTTGGTTCTCTCCCCAGCACCCCATTAACCTGGCATGGTAGCCATCCTGTCATCTTAGCACTCAGGAGTTGGAGGCAAGCAACAGAGATGTACCCTGTTTCTTCAGGCCTCTTCTTACTCCTCATTTGAGGTCTGTGCCCTGGCCTAGTCCTCCTCAGTCCCTGGTACTACCTTCTTCAGGTGGCTGAGATCCAGGTTGAGATGGAACTTCGGGATGAAATTTTGCCCAGAGCCCAAAACATCCAGAGTCTCCTGGACCGAAAGACCCTCGAAACAGAAGAGGCATGAATGGATGCGCCTGGGGTGGGGACAGGCCTTAGAGCTTTCTCTTGGCTTCAGCTGCCCAGACAGTTCCTTCCTAGCTAGCAGTAGCTTCCCTTTTCTCTTACTGTAGATTCAGGCTTCTTTCTTCCCATGATGTCCTCCTCTCTCACTGCGTTGGCACTCTCCTTTCAGGTGAATAAGACACTGAAGGCAACACTTCAGGCTCTGCTAGAGGTGGTGGCATCAGAGGATGGGGACATGCTGGACCCTCTGCAGGCCAGCCCTTCCACTGAGTCCCTCAAGTCCACAAGCTCAGACCCAGGCACCCGACAGACAGGCCGCAGACGGAGTCAGCAGCAGGAGACAGAAACCTTCTACTTTGCGGTGGGGCTGGACAGGCAGGACAAGGCCATAAAGGGCAGCAGAGGGAAAGGGGGCTGAGTTGGATTCAAACTAGGGACTCTTCTTTGGGTTTTCCAGAAGCTGCAGGACTATCTGAGTGACCGGAGCAAGCTTGCCAAGCTGCAGGCCAAGCATGAAAAGCTGCAGGAGGCCATACAACGAGGTGTGTCCTGCTCCAGACACACCCTTTCTAGGGCCCAAAGCTGCCCTGTCCTCCCTCTAACCTGGCCCATGTTCTTTCCTGACCAAAGGTTGTTTGGCATACAGGAACTAACCCAGCATAGGTGTACTGACTTCTCTCCTACCCCTTGGTCCTTTGACTATCCTGAGCTTTCAGTCCAAGCCTCTTCTCTCTGGGGTTAATTGAAGATCTTCAGCCTGAGAGACAGACCAATATTTTCTCCTTTCCAGGTAATAAGGAAGAGCAAAAAACATCTTGGTGAGTCCTTGATGAGGCCTATTTAGAGGTCCCCATCTTCCCTATTCTTACTCCCCAGCTCTAGTTCTACTGCCAGCACCCTGTGGCCTGGCTGGGTTAGGGATGGGAAGACTTCTCCATGGTAGCTCCCATTCTTCTCAGGACCCGGTGCACAGAAAGAAAATTCCACAAGAGCCACCATCCCCGTCCTACCTCCCAGTATAACCAGAAACTCTTTGGAGTCGACCTGGAGAAGTTTATCCAGGTATTTGCTTTGCCCCACACTCCAGCCACTGAAGGCTATCCCTGTTGCTTCTGGTCTTTTGCCAGCCTTGGTGGCCCAAGCGACTGCCTAATCCCTGAGCTCTCTAGTCCCAACCTTCCTGGGTGTAGCTCAAGTGCCTCTACCTATGCACACCACTTGCCAGTGCTGCTGAGGGCTCCCTGGGCTTCCTAGTGACCTGTAACAATTAAAGGAAACTATATTTTTGTTATTATTGTTTACTTTTGGTTTTTGAGACAGAGTCACTTTTTTTTATTTTTATTTTTTGGTTTTTTGAGGCAGGGTTTCTTTGTAGCTTTGGAGTCTATCCTGGAACTAGCTCTTGTAGACCAGGCTGGTCTCAAACTCATAGGGATCTGTCTGTCTCTGCTGTCTCTGCCTTCTGAGTGCTGGGATTAAAGGCGTGCACCACCACCACCCAGCATTAAAGGGAACTCTCCTTATAAAATAATTTATTATCATTTATTTAACTTTATATGCATTGGTGTAAAGTTGTCAGATCCCCTGGAACAGGAGTTACAGACAGTTGTGAGCGGCCATATGGTTGCTGGGAATTGAACCCGGGTCACTGTAGAAGAGCAGTCAGTGCTCTTAACCTCTGAGCCATCTCTCTAGCCCTCTAAAGGAACTCTTTTTTTTTTTTTTCGGATTTTCCAGACAAGGTTTCTCTAGTTTTGGAGCCTGTCCTGGAACTAGCTCTTACCGACCAGGCTGGTCTAAAGGAACTCTTAAGGAACTCAGAAGACCTGGGGCTCTAGGAGCTGGAGAGATAGCTTAGTGGGTAAGAGCACTGACTGGCCTTCCAGAGCATTCCAGGTTCAATTCTCCAGCACTCACATGGCAGCTCAGAACTGTCTGTAATTCCACTTCCAGGAGACCTGATACCTTCACACAGATATAAATGTGGGCAGACACCAATGCACATAAAGTTTTAAAAAATTAAATACACACTTAAAAGAGAAAAAAAGAAAACCTGGGACTGTAACATATTTAGGGATAAAGTGTTGAGGATTCTATCCTGTGGTTAGGATCAGCACAAGATGCTTATAGGTCATACTTCTGGCCTGTATGACCTTGACAATTCTAAACAGAAAAAAAAGCAGGAGAGATCTGAAAGAGCCAGGTGTGGTGGTGCAGCCCATAATCCTAGCACTTAATGGGCAGAGGCAGGAGGATCAGGAGATCAAGGCTAGCCTTAGCTATATAGCAAGCATTAGGCCAACCTAGGATTAATGAGGTATTGACTCAAAGGGAAGGGAGGAAAAATAACAGCATCATTTACAACCATCCCATTATGTACCTAGAGCATCCATAAGAATCAGACCATTTAAATGAGCAGATATAAGTTCTGGAGTGTTCTTTGACTGCAGGTCACCATCTAAATTTTGATTGCCTTATTATACTTGCAACTATTTGCAAATAAAAGGTAAAGTGCCAGCCGGGCGATGGTGGCGCACACCTTTAATCCCAGCACTCGGGAGGCAGAGGCAGGCGGATCTCTGTGAGTTCGAGACCAGCCTGGTCTACAGAGCTAGTTCCAGGACAGGCTCCAAAGCCACAGAGAAACCCTGTCTCGAAAAACCAAAAAAAAAAAAAAAAAAAAAAAATGGTAAAGTGCCATTTATATGGCACCAGCGAATCAATTTCTTCACAGAGATTCCAATAAACTCCACTATAACACTATTTTTTTATAACACTATTAAGAGAAAAGTGATAGATTGGCCAGGGAACTTGCTGTGTCCTAGTAAAATAAATGTGTTCTCTGTTACCAGAGCTCAGGTCAAGCTGTGCCCCTTGTGGTGGAGAGCTGTATTCGGTTCATTAATCTCAATGGTAAGTATAGGCAATCTTCTGTCACCCTGGCACTGGGAATTTGTGGGAGAGGGGATTCTGCCTGTCAGCTCCTTATCCTTCACAGGCCTGCAGCATGAAGGCATCTTCCGGGTGTCGGGTGCCCAGGCCCGTATCTCTGAGATCCGAGATGCTTTTGAAAGAGGTGAGGACCAATAGATAAGTGTGGCAGTGGCTTCAGTAGGCACAAGTAACCTCATTTTACCATGTTACCCTCCACAGGGGAGGACCCTCTGGTGGAAGGTTGTACTGCTCATGACCTAGACTCAGTGGCTGGGGTGCTGAAGCTGTACTTTCGGAGCCTGGAGCCCCCACTCTTCCCTTTGGACATGTTTAATGAGCTGCTGGCTTCAGCACGTAAGGCCTGAGGCCAGATGGGTAGGAGGGCACCCACTAATGCTAATGGATACAAGTTTACTTGGTCTGCTCTCTTGGGCTGCCTTGGCCACAGAACTGGAGGCTGTGGGAGAGCGCATACAGCCTGTGAGCCATCTGCTGTCCAGACTGCCCAGACCCGTACTAGTGGTTCTGCGATATCTCTTCACTTTCCTCAACCAGTGAGTACTTCTGGGGAGCCAGTTGGCTCTTGGGGTTGGAGGGGGTCACTAGTGCTATAGCTCCCTGCCTGTGACCTGCATATTTCCCCAGCCTGGCCCAGTACAGCGATGAGAACATGATGGACTCCTACAACCTGGCTGTATGCTTCGGGCCCACACTGTTGCCTGTGCCTGCTGGGCAGGACCCTGTAGCCTTGCAGGGCCGGGTGAACCAGTTGGTACAGACTCTTATCCTGCAGCCAGCGCAAGTTTTCCCATCCCTGGCCATGCTGCCAGGCCCCATCTATGAGAAGTGCATGGCACCACCTTCTGCCAGCTGCCTGGGGTATGCTTTGGAGGCTTATTGGGGGAGAGGGAATCTAGTGGAGGGAAACCTGCCTTACTCTGCTTGAAATATCAGGGATGGCCAGTTGGATAGCCTTGCTGGGGAGCCGGAGCTGGAGTTGGAAGCTGGGACCACAGCTCAGGAGGATGGTGAGGAGGGATCGAGCAGGGAGGCTCTACCCCATCCTTTACTCTACCCTCAGCCTGACCATTTCTTCCTGACAGAAGCAGAAGGAGTTGTGGAGGCCGTGGCCTGCTTTGCCTATACTGGCCGCACGGCCCAGGAGCTGACCTTCCAGCGGGGCGATGTACTGCGGCTGTATGCTCGGGCATCAAGTGACTGGTGGCGAGGGGAGCATGCTGGCGTGCAGGGACTCATTCCCCATAAGTACATCACACTGCTTGAGGGGTGAGTGAGCTGACATCCTGGGGAGAGTCTCATTGTAGTCTCATTGTATCTGCCTGGAATCTCCTGTCATATTCATGGTTGCTTTTCAGCCTATAATCAATGTAGAGTCTCCAGACCTTCTTTCTGGAAGTAGTCGCTGACATTCTGTTATGCTCAAACAGGACTTGTTCTAAACAAGGTTGCTGGCTTCCACAACCCTAAAACAAAGTCTATAGGCCTGGGTTTCACCCAAACACAACTATTCCCAACTCCTTTGACTGGGGTAGGGGATATTGGCCTCCAAGCTCCAGCCAGGAGAGAGTACAAACAAAGCCAGTCTTTTCCCTTCCCAGGGATGAAAAGCAGACAGCTAGTTTGCAGACCACGACGGAATCTGTGAGCCAACCAGAGGGCTTCCTGACCTTGGAGTTTACCAATCGGTGAGCCAGGAGAAGACAGGCTTTTGGAAAGACCCCTCAGCCGTGTGTGCTGTTAGAAGCAGCAGGCACCGTGGATAAGAGGCTACCTGCACTGTTAAGCTTGAGGGCATGGGCTCTGGTTTTGGCCACATGGGATTGGGGACGTTGTTGCATAAAGGACTCTAAAGTGTGTCCAGAACAGAGTCAGCCCTATTTGTGACTGGGAGGGATTCTAGAGGAATAAGATGGGCACTGCCAGCTTATGTTAAGGATTTCCCAGGGCCATTGCCAATCTTCCTATCTGTGCCTTGTAGGTTGGAATTAGGCATCCCACGTGAGGCTGTGGGTGCCTCTGGGCACAGAGGACACTATTTGGTCCCCACCTCCCCTGAGCGACCTGTGGAAATAGATAAGGTAAGAGCCAGGACTGGCTATGGAACCAGCAGGGGGCGCCTCTTCTACATGGTCTCTGCCCTTCCCAAGGTGAGGCTCATTGTTCTTATCCTTAGTCCCAGTCCAGGGGCACCTGGCGCTAGCAAGTCCAGTCACAATTTAGGGAGGGGCATGGGGGACAAGGGAGAAGAGACAGGGTGGGAGGGACAGGGGTAGAGACGCAGAGGCAGAGATAAGAGGGCAGAAGATCATCAGCCCTGCTGTGGTACTCGTGAGCTAGGAAGAAGCCAGACTGTCTAGGCTAATGTGGGCTAAGGGCTCCAGGATAGACTTCAAGGCTGGCACCTAGAGCTAGGTTTTGGTCCTTAGCAAGCCAGGGAGAGTAAAAGAACAGATGATAGGGAAGTAGAAGGGACAGCTGACTGAGGTTCTGATGAGTGGTACAACTTGGGGAGTCACCTTTATAAGGCGAGTCCTTTTAGCCCCTGTGAACTGAGCAGGGCATCCCTGAAGACAGATGCTAAGTCTTAGGAAGAGTGTCCCCACTCCTAGGCCTAGGGAGCCTAGTGAAGGCTGGTAAATACACAGACACTAAAGCCTGGCAGCTGGGAGACCCAGGGGAAGCCACTGACCCGGGAGTCCCCAGCATGTTGACAGCCCCAGAGCCCATGGATGGAAGCTCTCTTGTCAGCCAGAGAAAAAGTAGGAGTGAGGAGAAGGGGAACCCAGGACTCAGAGGGGCCCCTTCTCCAGAACCAGACCACGAAGTTACTGTCTCACAAGCAACACTGAAGTGACTGGAGGAAGAAAGCTGGAATGAAGTGGGGGAGGTGGCCTGGAGGCTCAAGCAGTCTCTTCTATGGCCCCTGGAGAGAGAGCCTGGCGGCAGTGTGGTAATCAAGGCCTCAGTTTGGGCAATGGAGGAAACTCACTGGGCCCTCCATTTTTCCTTTCTGCTAGGCTGTGGCGCAGAACATGGACTCTGTGTTTAAGGAGCTCTTGGGAAAGGCTACTGCCCGCCAAGGACATGGGCTAGCATCTACAGCCTCCCCCAGTCTAGGAACCCGAAACCTGAAGCCCTTGGCCTGCAGCAGCTTCGGCAAAAACAAAGTCTTCTCTCGGGGACCTGGGGCTCCAGTCTCTCCCTCAGCCTCCCCTCCCCAGGGTCCAGTCTCAACTCGCAAACCGCTCTGAGGCAGCTTACCTCAGCAGTCACCAATCCACCATTTCTCTCTAGGCCTCTTTGAGAAGTAGCAAAGGAAGGAGGCTAGAGACAAGCCCCTCTGTACTTTTGCTGGGAAACCCTGGGCTATGGCTGTGGAGAATGGAAGTTGCAGCAATTCATAAAGATCCTTACACTGGCTGCTGTTGTAATAACCTACACTCTTTGAGGGTGCTAAACGAGGCTGGTGCAGTGCAGCTCCCAGAGCCTGCACTGCTAGAGGCCACATACCAAGACAGAAGGTTCAACAGCTTCAACAGCTTCTCCTGGGAAAGAGGGTCCTCTGACATGGAGCTAGCTGCCTGTTGTCATTTGGGGACCTGCTCCCAAAAGTGCAATCTTGGTTGCTCATATCACATGCTCTTGACCATATGTATATTTATAGGTATGTAGGGGTCTTTGTCTTTATCCACCATTTACCTGGTCTGAAAAACCTTTTCCACGTGGAAAATTAACTGCAACTTTTATTAAGGAGATAGACAGAAGGGAGGAATAACGGGAAGTTCTACTAGCCCCATCCTGGTCCTTCCTTCAGCTCCCTGGGATTCTTCTTCACCCACAGGGTACTTGCCAGGATAAGAAGCACAAGCACCTCTGTCCCCTGTTCCTACTCCAGACCTTGAGGCCTCTGTTCCAGTTGCTTCCCATGTCTGGCACATAGGAGTCAACTTGAGGGTTTCCTTACAGTCCTGGAACATTCCTTCTTGCATACCTGAGGACAATGAGACCTAGGGAGGATCAAGGATGGCCAAGGTACCCCTCTCTTGGTACTCCCAGGGCCAAACCGAGACAGTCAGCTACAGGGAGCCTTTGGATGGAAAAAGCCCAGTGATTGCTCAGGAAGGTGTATCCTTGGTCAGAGAAGAGCTGGCCGTGGCACAGGACTCATCTTGAGGCCCCAGGCTGGGTGTGGTGTGCCTCTGAGCACAGCAAAGCAGGCTCCGCAACTCTGAGGAGATGCTGCTACTGAAGGAAGCATAGATCCAGGGGTTGGTACAGCTGTTAAGGCTGGCCAGCAGCATGAGCAGCACAAAGGGAGGTCCTATGCAGGAGAGAAGAGTCCAGGTTGGAGCTTAGGGTGTCCCTTGCTCATGCTAGCAAGCCATGGGGGCACCACATGTGAACCCACCAGTAGGGCATAAAGGTAAAGTAGGTGGAATACCTGAATGTTTATAGCCAGGCCCTTACCTCCCTCACCCCCAGCCTTAGCCACACCCACACCCACTTTCCAGAGGAGCCTCTGGGTCCCACGCTGCCCACAGCTGCACAAGGAAGAAGGGTGCCCAGCACAGCACGTAGACGATCACAATCACCAATGTCATCCTCACAGTCTTGGCCATGGCTGCTGACACATGGGCTCCCTCGGTGGGACTGCCTGTTCGGTGCCCTCTGCGGCGCCTCCCTGCCCTCTCAGATGGCCCTGGCACCAGACTGGCATGAATCTCTCTGAAGATAAGAACCTGGCAGGCAGCAATACCCAGGGCAGGTGCTACAAACACCATCAAGGCAATCCAGGTGACGTAGGCACGAAGGCCCCAGGGCTCTGCAAATCTGGCCCAGCAATCAAACACTCCACTGCCATTTCCCACATCTCGTTGAGCAAAAATGAAGAGCTGAGGCAGGCTGAGAAGGAGTGAGAAGGCCCAGGCCACCAGCACTGGCCGGTTCCAGCGAGCCCCACCTCCATGGCGGTATGCCAGCATAGGGCGGCAGATGGCGCGGTGGCGGTCTAACGTCATGGCCAGGATCATATAGGAGGAGGCATACATGCCCACCATCTGCAGGTACTTGACGGCCCGACACAGGGCATCAGGGCCATGGAAGCGGTCAGTGGCATCCCAAGCCAGCTGGGGCAGCACTTGAAACAAAGCCACAGCCAGGTCAGCTAGGCACAAATGACTGATGAAGACGTGCATGGGTGCCCAGCGTCCACGCCGGCCCCGTCGTATTAGGGCTCCCAGCACCAAGCCATTGCTCAAAGCCACAGCCACAAAGATGATAGAAAGCAGGGCCAGTTCAGCCCGGACTAGCAATGGGTTTCGGTCATCCAGTAGCTCCTCCTGGCTGCTGTTGCTGGGAGAGCTAAGGGGTGAAAAAGGCCCAGGCACAGCTAGGCAGGGGGGAGGGACAAGTTAGTGGGATACCCTGTAGGCTCCCTAGAATGAGAAAATTCCAGCGCCAGGGATGGTGGCCCGTGCAGCTGACACCTAAACCCCTTGTTGGTCTTACTGCCCATTTCCTGGCTCCCAGCAGAAGGGACTTCAACCCGCTCACAAGAAAGAGAAAGAAGTTTTAGGAAAAAAGGCCTTCTTGGCTTCATCAAACCCACCTAGGCCACCTGGCTCATCCAAGCAAGGGGTAGTAGGAACCCAGTGACTGGAACCTTACCGGATATGGTGGACACAAGGAGCATGGTGGGGGTGGCTGCAGGTGACCTGCACACCTGTCACGGGGGCCAACTCAGCCTTCACTCCAGGGGCCACCCCCGCTGTCCAGGGTCACTGCACAGGATAGAGGTGCCAGGAGGCAGGCACCTCTCTTAAGGTGCGTTCACAGGTTGGAGGTCCAGCCTCTATTTAGGCCTGGACAAGGAATATAAAGAACAATCAGACAGAACAACATATGAAACTCAGATTCCATCCAGGCAGCACGCAAGAGCCAGACTGGTGATTAGGCATCAGAGGTAAACACTAAGATTCCCCCCCCCCTGCTCAGACAGCAACTTGGATAGACCACCATTGGAGGGCTAAGGACTGGACAAGAGAGACCAACTATGCTTCTCAGAGCCCTTTTACAGCCCCTTACCTGCTCCAGCTCCTGGGCTTCTGGGCAGCTGGGCAGCAGCGTGAAGGTGGCTCAGCACTCAGATCGGTTCTCCATTGTCGGCCCCGCCCCAATCCAGCCTCAGGGAATGACCTGCACAGGAGACTTCCCCCTCCTCCCCTAGCCTCCCGCCTCCCCTAGTCTGGCTGGCCTCCTTCCTCCTTCTACCAGGAAGTAAGTTCCTGTTCTCCAATTTCCCTTTCTGCCCCAGGCTTCCTCGGTCAGTCCCAGGACCACCCTTCGCAAGTGCAGGCCCCATCTTGGTTCAGCAGCAGCAGCCTCCATCCTGCCTGCCCCTATTCCACAGATCCATCTTTCTAGAACATCTGGTACAGCAGTGCTGTGGGAAACTATTTAGTGCAGGACCTCATCTCCTAAGTGGGAAACTGAGGCTGGAACTGACCCAGAATCACTACTTTTTCATGGCAAATCCTGACCTTTAGCCAAGCCAAGCTCCTTCTTTGATCTTCATCTCCCTGTGCCAAAAGCCTGGGGATGGGAGAACCTCTCAGGACCATTCAAGACCCTCCTCCTCAATTAGGGCTGTCTGCCCAGAGATGAAGGACAGGAAGGGAAGGGGTGGAGCTGAGGCTAAACCAGGGCTAATGTGCCCATGTGTGATCCAGCTTCCTCTCCAGGAGCCTGTAGGAACCAGGAGCACCTACACCCTCTTCTTCATGCCCCACCTGTAAGCACCCATTCCAAGAGGAAGAAGGCTTTTCAGACTGATCTCCAGTATAGTTACCTGTTTCTCTCTCTCTCTCTTCATACACACACCCTCAAATACATGCTTCACCCAACGTGAAGACTCATGCATTTGTGCACAAACAGCAGGCTCAGGATCCAAGGTCCCGTGTGAAAGAACCCGAGCAGAGAGCTTAGGGACCCAGATGTTTAGGACTTCCTCTCTCCCACACACCCAACTCCTGTCACCTGTAACTCACCAGCACCTCCTCTTTTCTATGGCTCCCTGTCTGTTCAAGTTAGCTCTGTAGACCAGGCTGGCCTCAAACTTACAGAGATCTGCCTGCCTCTGCCTTCTGAGTGCTGGGATTAAAGGTCTGTGCCACCGCTGCCCATTTTTTTGTTTTGTTTTGTTTTGTTTTGTTTTGTTTTGTTTTTCTGAGACAGGGTTTCTCTGTGGTTTTGGAGCCTGTCCTGGAACTAGCTCTTGTAGACCAGGCTGGTCTCGAACTCACAGAGATCTGCCTGCCTCTGCCTCCCAAGTGCTGGGATTAAAGGCGTGCGCCACCACCGCCTGGCTTTGCCCGGCTTATTGTAGCTTTAATTTTTTTTTAATTTTACTACATTTATTTATGTGAGGTTGGGGAGTATACCTCTCCCCCCCCCCCGTGTGTGTGTGTGTGTGTGTGTGTGTGTGTAAGTCAGAGAAAACTTCTGGGAGTCATTTTTTTCCTTCCACCATGTGGGTCCTGGGAATCAAACTCAGGTTACCAGGTTTGGTGATAGGCACCTTTACCCACTAAACCATCTTGCCAGCCCGTCATTGTTACTCTTTAATTCAGCTTTATAATAGAGAGATATCCACGTCCTTTGTGCTTTATTGGTGTTTGTTGATGTTGCTGAATTTCCCATCTGCACTAAAGAAGAGTGGTTTATCCCGCATGGGGATATAGTGCTCCCTAAATATCAGTTACATTAATTTGCTTGATAATACTGTTCAAATCTATATTCTGACTGATTTTTTTTATTTGATCAATTCCTGAAAAACATATGTTGTAGTATCAAACTGTGTTGGAAGATTTATTTCTAGACCCCTTTAAAGGGACAATTTTTTACTTTATGTATTGAAAGATTTGGCTTTTAGGTCTTGTTATTTGTCCCCTATAGTGTCCCTCCTACATCTGGTAACACTCTTTATGCTGAATTCTACTCTATCTGGTATTTGTAAAGCCATGCCAGCTTTCCTGTGCTCTGTGCTTTCTTGGTTTATTTTTTTCTATACTTTGACTTTCAACGTGTATTTATGTTTAAAGGTGCTTCTTAGAAATACCATATAGCTACTTTGTTTAAGGTTGACAGTCTCTGCCTTTTAACTGGTGTGTGGCAGATTGTGGCTTTCCAAGGTAGCCCCAACAATAACTCCATCCCACATGTTCTCCTGGAGCCTTGCCACCTCCCATCAAGAGGTGAAATTTTGCCCTCCCCCTACAATCTGAGTAGGTTTGCATATTGCTTGTGATTAAGATAATCTGCTAAAAAGTGCTGCTTGCTTTCTGAGGCTGGGTCAGATAAATTAAGGCATGTAGTTTCTATCTTATTAGCTGGTATATTCACCCATCACAACCATGTTAGCTGCCCAACTTCCCTACCACCCCATGAGAAGACCTGAGCAGCCATCGCAGAGAGTATAAAGGAGACAGGCCCAGGTAGGCAGCTTTAGCGAGCTCCATCTGTAGCCCTTGTTGGACAACAAGCTTGTAAAAAAAACCTCCAAACCAGAATGACTTGGTGAACCCCTCCCAAATTCTTTTTAAGAATATTGATTCTAGCTGGGCGGTGGTGGCACATGCCTTTAATCCCAGCACTCGGGAGGCAGAGGCAGGCGGATCTCTGTGAGTTCGAGACCAGCCTGGTCTACAAGAGCTAGTTCCAGGACAATTAAACTCTAGTTCATCATGCTAGACATGAATGGACTCATTGCTTTGGTTTGTCATTGGCATCCTATCTGGGGTGAATAAAATGTTTTTGTCCCTCAGCAAAGTCAAACAGTCTGATCTCTATTTGCTCCATTTTTATTTATCTTTTTATCCTTTTCTGACATTTGGGAGGACAATTTGAGCCTTTAAAGAGTATATTTTCGGGGCCTGGTAGTGTTGGTACACGCCTTTTAATCCCAGAACTCTGGAGGCAGAGGCAGGTGGATCTCTGTGAGTTCTAGGTCAGCCTGGTCTATAGAGCAAGTTCCAGGACAGGTCCAAAGCTACACAGAGAAACCCTGTTTCGAAAAATGAAAAAAACGTATCTTCTGTTGATTGACTATTCACTTACTATTTATTCATTTATTTATCTTATAGTGCTGAAGATTGAACCCAGGTCTTTGTACACAATAGGCAAATGCTCTATCTCTGAACAACATCCCCAGCCCCTATTGACATTTTAGTTATCATTTGAATTTGTGTATGCTATGCAAATGTCCTATCACTAAGCCATAGCATCCTCCATCCCAGAAAAAAAATTTCTTTTTTTTTTTTAAACACTCTCATGTAGCACTGATGTAGTGGTTTAAATGAGATTGGCCCCATAGGCTCATATATTTGAATGCTTGGTCCCTAGTGTGTAGAATTGTTTGGGAAAGATTAGGAGGTTTGGCCTTGTTGGGGGAGCAGTACCACTGTGGGTGGATTTTGAGATTTCAAAAGTCCATGCCATTTTCTAGTTAGCCTTTTTCTCTGCCTCTCTTTCTCTGTCTTGTACCCGTGGATCAGATGTAAGTTCTCAGTTACCGCTTTAGGGCTATGTCTACCTGTCTACCTATTGCCATCCTCCCTGCCATGATGGTCATGAGCCTGCCCTCTGAAACTGTAAGCCCTCATTAAACACTTTCTTCTATAAGTGTCGCGTCCACCCTCGTCCCGCAAGGAAAAACGCAACACACAGAGCTCTTCTTGCAGCAGTTTTCAGGACTTTATTCACAATAATCTTTCTCCTTCTCCTTCTCTCTTTCCCTCTCTCTTTCCCCTCTCTCTCTGGGCAAACCTCTCCCAGCCCTTAAGTAGGCATGGGCTGCCAACCCCGAACTGCCAGGTGGGCACTGCCCATAGGTTCACGCATATGCAGGCAGCTGATAATCATTGCGTGATCATAGCATAGGTCAGGCCTTAGCCATCTCAGGAGTTGATTATACATCTCCATCAGGTGTGACACCACGCAGCTCGCTACATATAAGCTGCCGTGGTCATGGTGTCTTGTGACAGCAATTGAGAAGAAACAGGGATATCATACTAGACTCAGATTTGCTAAGTAGCAGAGGCTAGCCTTAAACACCTTATCCTCTTGCCTTCATGTCTTAGTTACTTTTCTATTGCTGTGATAAAACGCTATGACAATGGAAATTTCTAAAAGAAAGAGAGTATAATTGGGTTTATGGCTCCAGAGGGATAGAATTTATGATGGCCGAGCAAGGTCACATAGGTATGTAGTTAGAGCAACAGCTAACAGCTCACATCTTGATCTGTAAGCAGGAGGCAGAGAGCATACTGGGAATCCCATGAGTCTTTTGAAACCTCAAAACCTGTCACTAGAGACACATCTCCTTCAACAAGGCCACACCTCCTAATCCTTCCCA